AAGTGCCAGCAGGCATACCCAAGCGCGCCCCCGTATCGATGATGCAGGCTAAACCATTTGGAACCCTGATCTCGCAAAAACCAGAAGCACAAGCAAACCAGCTTGAGTCGCACTGCTCTTTTTTTTGCCTGCCATCTATGGTGGCGGGGAGAAGGACAGTGCAATCAGTTCCTTGGAATAAGGACGGAACAACTCAGGAATTGGTGTAGCAAGATGGTAGATAGTAGAGTAAGCTCGCTTGAAATCATCTCTGACCTAAGTGGAACTCCCTAACTCTGCGTAACTGAATCCTATAGACTGATCCACATATGAGGATCGTTGGCCTGAAAAAGCGCTGCATGAGGAAGCGGCGACAGGCTTTCAAAGGCTGCTCTTTCTCTGGACGCCGTTCCGATAGACTTCGTTGAGGAGCATTGCGACTCATCTTGGTCCTGTTAGATGCCATTCATTATAGTGACTCTAGCCACACAAGCTTGACTTCACGACACTGTGCAACGCTTCGTAGCTTGCTGCTACAGTACTTCGTGCTTAAAAACCCACTCGTTGACGCGTCGCCGCTCAACCATGCAAGGGCTCAACTCTGTGATTTTATGGACAGTGCTCAGCGTGTCTGCGCTGCAGTCTAGTTCTCGCCTTTACACCTGTACTGCGCAACGCCAAGAACTTTACTGCATCACCCTCCACTTCATTTTTGCACATGGCCCGCACACCCAAAATCATGTCATGTGTGCGTAGAATCTAGAACATTCTAGAGCCAACTACTCTACGATCAGATCGCAAGCACTTAAGACCCAGAGGTCACAAAGCATCACAACTTGGGGTCGGGTGAAATTTGTAATGCAGGCTCGGAGCGCACACCCCTGTGGGAGTGTCTCCAAGACGCTTCTTGCAGGTCCTCACTCTCTGGCCTCTTTTTAAGGCGGCCTACTCTCTGAATCACGCGGAGCCATGGCTAAATCTTCACAAAGCTTTCTGGCAGTACTTGTGCAGGAATGTCGTAGGTTTCTGGCTCAGTTGGTAATGTGAGACCATGGCTTCAATCCTGCACCACAGAGGATCGTCAACCCACTGTCACTTCTTCTCGCGGTCATGTGGGGTGCAAGCAGCAGAGGCAAGTCTCAAGGATTCTCCGAAGACTTCACCAGGCCGAGAACATGTATCTGCTTTACGTGCTCTCTGTTCAAAGCTGATCCAGTCCCAATACCAATAGGCACCTGCATTCAAAAAATGAGGATTACGTTTGAATCTCTGAAATCGTTGAGCCACGTTAAGCCCGTCTTGTCTGCTCACGCATCGCACTTGCCTCCACCACTTCCACGCTCCCCGCGGTCCAACAGCAAACAGCCGGCGGAAGATTGCGTGGCTTTCCAGCTTGGCTATCGTCATACAATTTACGGTACAGGGTTGAAGGTTTAGGGGTAATATTGGGGTAATATAGGGGTCTATAGGAGTAATATAGGGGTTCTATAGCGGTTATATAGGTTTATATAGGGGACATCCACTCTCTCCTTCTTTTGTGGCAGGTATATAAGGGGTAGATCACTTACACTGGTCCTTGTAATCGATGGCTACAATCTTCCAAGCCCTCAAGTAAGAAGCGTCCCAATCCCCATTAAAAAACACTTTCATCCATCAGGGAGTATGTACCGTTTTTCTGATGTGAATGTAATTCTTAAGGCCTCTGATGTAAGGCCTCTGACGTTATCAAGGGCATCTGCCTCTTAAGCCATAGGCCGGAAGAGACGCATGGAGCGCACAAAGGCCACGTAGAAGACGATGGCCACTGCAATGCTGATGTAGTAGCCATACCTGGGAACGGCATAAGTACTATGCAGCGGTGGAACCGCGGCGAGTATTCAAGTGGGATGCTATCGAAGCCACGGCAGACTTACCGGGACCGATATTGATCATATTCCTGTAGGGGTTCGAGGTGGCAAGCAGATTTTGCATACGCGGGATTCAAATTAGCCACAGCTTTGGAATTTGGACTTTGGGTGCAGCGGAAATCTCGTGTCATCCTTGTAATTAATTGCTCAAGCCTTTCGCATCCGGCTCAGGCTCAATTGCCATACGCTCAACTGTTGCCACTTTTGGACCCTAGCTTCTTTTTTGTAGGTATGGCATTGCCAACTAGTCCCGCACACGATCCAGTCGCCATGTTTGTGAGGGCTGCTGTTGTTGTTCGTGCTATTAGCTTGCTCTTGGCGCTCTTGGGTGGCTATTGCCAAAGCACAAGGGAAGCAGCAACCTCATGAAAACTCAGGAGCACCGAAGCCATCATGGGCAGACAGAACGATTTCTTAAACCATTTCATTTTCCTTGTGCGGGTTGTGGTTACGACCAACCTGCCATGTCTAACGGCTCGCCGGCTCAATCCACAACATGCCTGTGCCCTGATACGACCTCCTTACACAATCTTTGCCAAAGAAAATGCCAGCAAGTCAGTCAAAGCAAGAACAGCATGCGAAGTGGCTCGATGTGTCCCTGGTTGAGGTCATCCGTCATGAAGCTGCCTTTGGAGTCCAGTAATACTGTTGATGGAAAAGTCTTGCACCACTTGAAGCCCCATAAAACGCAGCCATACCCGGGACATAAAGGACTTGATTAGGCTGGTGCAAGATTTCCTCCATCAAGTGTATCTTTGCACGCAGATTCAGAACAAGAGGATAAGAGCAAACCTTCAATCCGACTTTCTAGCAACGGCGGATAACCTGAACAGCACAGAAGACTGCAGAGTAAGATCCCGGCTCAGGGCTGTCACCTTTCCACGCACGAGTCAGAAAATGATCCCACCACTTTCAACTGGTCTATGAAGGACGTGATTCTCTTAGTGCTCCCTTGGAGCTTTATGTTACTGTGCTCTTGAGGATGTTTAATCGCCGCCATGCTGTCTTGAATGCCAGCATGAAAGAGGAGCACGTATCACCTCTGCAGACCACAGCAGAAGCCCTCTCACTTCGCTTGTCTAGTCCCAGATCCACCGCACATTTCCTCTAGAGGAGTCACCACCAATAGGGATGCAATATGCCCAGCAACAGGAACAACTTCTGACATGAATTTAAAGACTCCCTTTGGTAGCCCTTCCCCGTCCCTGTCTTCTCTAAGGGCCCCCGATCTTCAGAATCCACCAGACAACTGGCAGCCTGAACGCCGAAGATGGCAGTAGACACGGCTTGCACTAAGAGGGTCGCCACCTCAGAGTCTCTCCACATAATCCCTGCGTGATCTCTACGAGTCAACCCTAATCACAACGCTCTTGGAAGTTCAAGTGCCCTTCGCACATCCGAGGGTGCCCATGTTTTGAGAAATCTTCCTCCAAGTTCAGGTGCGCCGCCCCAAAACCATCACAGCCTATGAATGCTTGGCCTGCGGTTAATTCTGTGACGTTGTGTGCTGGTCAGTCCTACTTACATGGTTGGTCGTCAAAGTTATGGTTCATTCGGGGTGCCTGATATAATACAGCCTTTATTAATATTCAGGGTACCCAGAAAGTGGCCAAAGTTTTGGCACATCCGTGGGAAACAAACCATACCCTTCTCGCGCTTAAGTTGCTAAGTCCCTGGCCACAGCAAGGGTGCGGGTGGCTGCGGAGCTGCTACCTGAGCTAATATTTTTTTTGCTAGCTGCAGCTACAATTTTAGGGTTTAGGGTTTAGGGCTAGCCCGATCTTCGGCATCGCACCACGGAAGCACGGGGAAGAGGTCAGATGCAATCACAGATGTGATGTAACTAGTGCCGAAACCATGCTAGAACAGCGAGGCCTATGGGTGGAGGTTTGACACAGCCCAGCTTGATGTTGTTCGCACCATGGCCACGCAATTGTTGTAGCGCGTGAAGTAAGCATAAGGCGTAAGTAAACTCAACCAACCCATAAGCAGGTCTATGAGTAGATCTCCTCCGATAGCATGCGTTGATGTACCTGTTTAACCCACCCCCTCCCTCCCTCCCTCCCTCCAGCCACGTGTGCGGTAAAAGTATCAATATCGGCGTACACACACCTAACAGGTTATTGTTCTTCACGATTCACAACAATTGCAATGGGCGGCCCCCGCCAACCTAATATAGAATCAATAGCTCACGGCCTTCCCCAGCCTACTGCTCAACGCAAGACGCAGCACTCAAGCCTAGCTCCATTAGCTTTCGTGACTAGAACATGTCGCAACCTTAAACCGCAAGTTGTTTGGATCTGTCGGGCTTTCGGCGGCCAAGTCTAGAAGGCACTGCTTGAAAGGTCTTCCTCTCGCAACAATGGAAATCTTCCATACAACGTCGTGATTTCAGCCACCCTCACCTCAGATTATTGACAGCCGAGATTCTGTACACCAGATGCATGATGACGGGGTTGGTGTAGATTTCCTCAGCTGCAGCCATTGCTTGCCTCTTGTGGCTGTTTTCCTGATGCATTGGCCTTGCAAAAGTTTGAACCTGCGGTTAACAACAACTGTCCTGTTACTAGAATTCAAGCTTGACACCCATGTGACACTGTAATTGCACCTTTCCTAGTTTTGTTATTCACCCGTCACACCTGACTGTCCTGCAAGATCGGCAACGTTGCATGACCACAAGTACAATTAGTATGACAAACACTGCCATTACAATCTTGACCATTGATCCTGCTAAGAGAATACTTCTGCACTTGATTTGTTTAACGGTATTCCGACAGTTACTCGCGTTACTATTATTGCGCTTGAAACTGCAAGCACCTTGATGACCGCTGTGCTTGCTGAGATACAGACGTGATTCTTATCGCCCGCTAACTCCGGTTACCCTGGCTGCTTGTGCGACCCGTGCTGCTTTTCATGCTAGCAATGCCTGCGAGTAATCCACTTGTTTACTTGCACCGTGTCTGTAACGGTTGAAGTCGGAAGCCATACTCGGATAGTGCTACAGCCGTGGGAGTCCAGGTAGACAGAGAAAGAAAGCTTGTATACTCTAAGTGGGAGTGATTTATGCTTTTGGGGTGCTTCGTCCTTGGAAGTTCTCATTTCGTGGCAAGGGTCCCCGATGCCCATCATCAGGAAAGGCAGGAACATCCACACCGCGGAGACGCTAGACATATGAATGCCCTCTGGGGCACAGTTGGAGAGCCTGGCGATGAAGAAATTCAATCATGCTTTCCCCTTGAAAACTGGCAAACTGCCTGTCATGCTGACCCCTGGTCAAGAACTACATATCCAATCTCTCGCCTACAAAAGGTGGCAAGACCTTCTGCATGTTCACCCCGCATGGCAAAGTTCTGGCTCATCGCTGTTGCACGCAGCAGCTCGGGTTATATAGGGATAATGGAAAAGAAAATGGAAACTACTACTTTATGTAGGGCTATATAGCGGTAATATTGGGATTATATGAGCCATTGTCTAAACTCCTAGTATTCCCCTTAAAAAGCCCTATAGTAGTCCCGTATATAATCCCCTGTAGAACCCCCTTTAAGGAGTTTAGACTATAGCTCATATAGGGTGTATTCCTGTTATGGCTAGATGGGCAATGGGCGCCAGCCTAAGCATCAGTTGCATTCAACCCGCCTCTCGGAAACAGGAGCTGTCTTGCGCACCTGGGTCCATTAGCTTGCTGGTTCTTAGTAGGGAACAAAATGTGAATTATATTCCCTTGTTCCCTACTATATAGGGATTATATATAATATAATCCCAGTATTATAACATGTCTTTTATCTTCCATTTTTCCCTACTAAGCACCAGTCAGTTAGCAAGACTGGCAGTACCGCCAGCCATCCTGCCCAGGGACCATCTATCTGGCGGGGCTGTCAAATTCACTCTAATAATGGGGCCTGTAGTAAGGTAATAGGTATATGAATATCCCAGGGTTAAGGGGCCTTACTAAGGGCCCGTGGTTTCAACCTTGGAATCATATAAGGGGTTTGTCGGAAGCTTCTTCTTCCTAGGAAAGTGGAACTGCACATGCAGCTCCTGCCAGGTGGAGGCCAGATACGAGAGCAAGATTGCTACGCTTATCAAGGCCCGCTGCAAAAGTTAGAGGTGACACAAAGGCCCCTGCAACACAATGGCCCTGACACACAGTCATCATGAGAAATAGCCGGCGAAAGACTGTAAGAAGTGCTCCAACCAGCCCCCTGCTATCCCCTAAACCCTACACCCTGTTATAAACCCTAAATCCCAAACCCTGCTCTTCCTCAGCAGGTCACGGATTCGAGGACAGCCGCGACGACCACTGAGGCACCCCCGACCTCGTCGTGCTTCAGAGGGTCTAGGATTTATGCACGCATGTATCTCTCTCTCGATATATATCTTGCATACATATATATATATATATTCACATATTTGTTCATCTATTTGTTTATTACTTTGTGTGTCTGTATATGTATGACCATCTGCATATGTACACCTGTGGACAGGGTCTTGTTTCTATATCAACCACGACCCACATCTTACTCTTGCATACCTATGTAATCACCGTGGTAGTTTCCCCAATTCGGGTCCCCCTTATAGATCCCAATACATCAAAATCCTTATTGATTATAGGGCCACCCAAAATAGTACACCCAATTTTGGGAAATCCTCAATATGCCACTTGCTCAAGTCAGAAGCCAGGCACTGCCATGCCGAAAACGAACTTTCCGTCATGGCTGAAGAAGCCTTTCATGGGGCGACAAAACCCTACGACCCTTTACCTGGGCACGATTGAAGGGTTTCCAAAATTAGGGGTGCCTTTGGGTCGGCCCAATAATAAGGCTTATGGTATTTCGGGATCTATGTGGGCGTCCCCCGATTCATGGAAAACACCATTTAGGTTTCAGGCCTTTACCGACGCGCCGGTAGATTCTATGCTAGATGCTTTCACGCGTTGGCCTGTGTTCAGTCATCCCGGATCCCTACAGCGACAACTTTAACAATCGGTTGAATGTTGTTCTCGCTTCTCTTGTTCTCACTTTTGGGGGGGTCCTGCTGCTACTGCTGCTTCTTCTGCTGCTGCAACTGGATCCATTTATGTTTGTCATTGCTGTGAGAATCTGATTCAGATACGGAGTGATGAGTAGACTGAATGTCCGAGGCACGACCGAGCTTTTTCTCCAGCATCGGATTCAGCCAGCCTGCTTCAGCAGGGCAACCCCCCCAAAACCCTCGGCATGGGAAGCCTCACGGACTTCTTGTCAAGGACTCTTCCGCTTGGGTTGCAACACTTTTGGATCCCTTGGTATGGTCCCAGCTGTGAGGTCAGAAGGCTCGTGCAGCAACTTAATGTAGACCCATGATTAATAACCCCCTCCTTTTAAGGGCCTTCAGTCCCTATTAATGGGAGGGGTTATTAATTATGGGTCTACATTAGGGACTGTCCAAAAAGGATCTCACGGGCCGCCTACGGCGATGGGCGTGGCGATGGCGATGCCAAGGCAGTCGGCGATCCTGGGGTTCGGGGGGCTCAGAGGTTGAAGTGAGTTGAATTAAGGGTACCCTTTTAGAGGTCCCCATAGTACGGATTTTAATATTTTGGGGTGGAAGTTGCTGGGTAGCGTTTGGGATTGTAACTGCCCCAAACGTGACACGAGAAATATTTACCTATCAGCTGCCCAGAAGCTTATACTGTATGGAGAATAAAGCGGAGCTTATACAGGGAGGCGGCCGGCCTGATAGAGCACCTAAAAAGCATTCACAACTCCATATGTATATGCATATGCAGATGTATCGAATCGACGTCAACCTGCACCCAAATCCAAACACTTCAGTGGACGCATTGCTGCCGTGGGAACCACTGTGTCATCGAATACCAAGGGATAGACCGCCAAACCCCCTTTTCAGCCGGGCTGGGTCAGTAGCATAATGATCTCAGGTCATCTAACAAGTAAGTGTGCGGGATTCTTGTTAGTGCGTTTACTTCTCCCAGGCAACTCACCAGGAATCACATGTGCAGGCCCAGGCACATGAAGAAAGAGCCTGCAAACTGCGCCTCACCTTACATGCAATGCAGCTGACTGACTGACTTTGATCACACCCCGATAAAAGGATAAATTGTCTTTGAGCGGTGGTGATTATGATATTCTGCGTAGCAGGATGTTACAGGGGACTCGCGCTGGCCTCCAAAGGGGATCCGGACGTCCATCTGGCATGCCTGCTGCTGGAAGCTGTATTGCATACCTGGGCAGCGTGCTTCGACTGTAGAGCCAGGCAATGCATTGATCAAGATCCTACTGCGGGTCAGAAACCTCATGGCATGATCCTATTTGGTCCAGTCCTTTACGACGCGCCATGGAGTCCTGACACTCGTTCGCTTTCTACTCGCAAATCTTTGCTGTGGCATAGCCTCTGCTGGGAGTTGATGTTGGGTATCTATGCTGCTTGGCAGCCATGCTAAGCAGGCATGCAGTTTCCGCAAATGCGCGAAGGCTTCTCTGCAGGGGCAGCTTTTGCAGCCAGGTCTGATGGGTGCGCCGCTATGTCGGCTATTCAGTAGTAGGTCATAATGAGGTAGTCACCTGCGAACTCAGGCGGAAGTTCCTTACACCCTACGCAAGCCTCAACATACCCACCGATGCAGCGCGATGTACAAGGCAAGCCCTTTGACCACAAACCCACATGCGAATCCCTTTTTGGGGGTGCCCCTAATCAGGATTAAGAAATAGAGGTCTACGTTTGGGGTTCCCTGTTTTTATGGAAGCTACCATTATTCTCAGACCCTCCACCCTCATCTCTAAACCCTAAACCCTCCACCAAGCTGCAGTTGTAAACCGCTCCAAAGGACAGCTGAGCGGTGATGATGACAGGCAGCAGCCGCAAGAAGCCGCCTCGCAAAGGTAGGATGATCAGGGCTTGTTCTTTACTAGCATTAAAGGTTCCGAAAAGTGATATAGGAGCTCAATAGGGTGTATGATCAAGACTTGGGGTGCTGTTAGTAGTAGTAGTAGTAGTAGTAATAATAATAATACTAATAGCAGTAGTAGCTGCAGCAGCAGCAGCAGCAGCAGCAGTAGTAGTAGTAGTAGTAGTACTAGTACTAGTACTAGTACTAGTACTAGTACTAGTACTAGTACTAGTAGTACTACTGCTACTACTACTACCAACAAGAATACTTCATAGTTGCAGTATGTTACAGTACTACTTTCATTCTTACCACTATTATTGAGGTTTTTGGATAGGATGATTAGGGCTTAGGGAATAGGCCCCGAAATGGCCAATCAAATAGAGATTCAAAATTTAGTGGAAACTACCATATACAAGGGTATACAATGCTATACAGGGTTCTGCTTCTGGATAAAGATACTAACGGAGGATCAAATCGAAAAGAAACTGGAAGACGAAATGGAAACTACTAGAGTATGGAGGCATACATAGGGATCATATGGGGTCAGGGTGGCGAGTCGAAAGAGTTGGGGATTGCAGGGCCGGGGGCTTACCGACCGTGTGTTCGATGATTGCGATTTCAAGCTGGGGGACCGTTCTTTTTCCGTACTGCGGAAGTGACGAGAAACAGTGATAACGAGCACATGAAAACTAATTGCTTCGTAACAACAGCAAATTGTAGCGACAATTAGCCGAAACAATGAACACAAACAATAAAGGTATAAATGACGATGAGAGCGTCTATGAGAGTCGAACATGGTGTGAGCCAGCAGCAAACAGTAGTAGCAGCAGCAGCAGCAGCAGCAGCAGCAACAACAACAACAACAACAACAACCGCAACCGTAGTAATGCTGAGAGAGCAATGACAATAAAAGCATAGAAAGATAGCAGCCAAGAAGAGTCCTCAACTGATGAAACAAGGACACACACACATTGCAAATAGGAACAGAGGAAAACAAATGATCAGAATAACTACGTAGTCTCATGTAGAGTTCATTGTCTAAGCCCTGGACCCTATAAGCCGATCATCCCTATGGCCCTATGTAGACTTGAAGCTTCCCCCCACAAAAAGGGGACCACAATATATATATATATACATATATATATATATCCCAAACCATCATAAGCCTTATTCAAGGGACCCCCAAAAAAGGTAACCCTAATGCTGAGAACCCCAATTGTTGGATTCCTCCTCAGCCCTAAACCCTCTACCCTAAACCCTCACCCCTAAACCCTCACCCCTAAACCCTCAACCCTAAACCCCAAACCCCACACCCTAAACCCTAAACCCTCTACCCTACACCCTAAACCCCTTCTGGGCCGAGCCACGGGCATCCTCGGAGCTAAGGCTGACGCCCTGCAAGTCCGCATCCGAAATCCTGAGATGCATCTTTTTAGGGTCTACCGGGTTTAGTGTTTGGGTTTAAGGGTTTAGGGTTAAGGTTTTCTTTTAAAACGCATTTTTCCGCCTGCATGACAAACGGAAGACTCCCAGGTCAGCCGAGGAAAACAACTCCGCATCACACTGCGATCCCTAGCAGCACAACACACGGGCGTGAGAGCCCTTACCACTCCAGCTCCTGCCAGCACGCAAGCTTCAGCACCTAGGAACTTAAATTAAGGGATTATACCCCTATAATGGAGAATCAAATGGAAAAGAAAATGGAAAATGAAACGGAAACAGGGGGAATATAGGGATTTAAGGAACTTACTGTGCACTTTAAACCCCAGGCTTGACAGCATCAGTCCACTGAGAGTCAGAAGGAACCCTGCACACCCTCCAACACGACCCTCACAAGGCGCAAAAACCAGCTACCTAAGAGATGACAAGGAAAACACCCGGGACGACATTACAGGAAAACAATCCCAGAAAACCACCTGGAAAACAGCTACTTGGAAAATAACAAAGGTGAAGGGCCCAGGGTTTCGGGCTATAGAAGTTTAATGGGGTTTCCCAAAGTTAGTAATTAAATAGGGGTTATATTGGGATATGTAAGGATATGTAAGGTTTAGAGTTTCCCAATTCTTTTGGGTGTCTTCTTGGGGTCTCTATAATAAGGATTACAATATTTGGGGTCTATGTTGGGCTGCCCTTGTTTAGGGAATCTACCAAATTGAATTTAGGGTTTAGGGTTTAGGGATGGGTCAGGGTGCCCTAAAGCCTAAACCCTATAGGGGTTAATCAGGGCCAGGGTGGATACTGGTGGTCCAGGTCCGGCTGCCAGCTGATAGCTACACCATGCTGTATGCACGCTGCCTTCTGTGTGAGCTAGTCCCCATGGCCAATTCATTTTCCAGGTTTTTTTGCATTTGACTTTTTTCTTTTTGCTGATCGCCCGCAAGGAGTGGAGCCGCTCGCTCAGCGTTGGCCCCCAGTATGGGCCCTTATCTCTGGGATCCTTATGTACCTACTATATAGCCTATATGTAACCTTAAGGGTCCCGAGAAACCCTCTAGAAGGCCTACGGACTCATTTTAGGGGCCCATACTTTTAACCTTAGACTATAATGCTCCCCCACTTAATCCCGTATGTAACCCCGGTTAAGGAGTTCAGACTATAGTACATGCCTACGCGGGATGGAGGCATACACTTCGTCGCAGAGCCGCGAGATCTTGCACTGCTAGCCTCCGCTCCTTTTCCATTTGCAAACTTCTGGCCGTAAGGGGCTCTGGGAACACTGTAAGCTGCAAAGTTGAAAGAATTTGTAAACGAGCTGGTGTCAGCTGACTTTTGAGAAGCCTCCAACAAAGTAACGCTCACGCAGTACCACAACTGTTCCAAAATTGCCTGAAAGGACCTGCCAGCTTCAGGTCCTCGTATCCCCGTTAGTAACCCCTGTAATACTCCCCTACATACTCCTACATACTTGCCCTTTCGAGAGTTTAGACTCTGGCTCAAGTCAAGATAAGCCTCCAATGAGGCTGCTCGCAGGAGCCAATGATCAGGATGGAACCTGCGTAATAAAAAAAAAAAAAAAAAAAA